ATAACTTATCAACACAACACAACAAATGTGGGTGAGGTGGATGGTGTGATTCCGGTACGGAATTCCGGAATCGGAACCAATTCCCGCAATTCCGGAATTGGTAGGAATTCCGTGCAATTCCGGAATCGGTCGAACTCGATCAATCTCGACTGGGTGTCTTATGTTGTGTGTCGATCGAGTTCCCGGAATTAGACGGAATCGATTCCGGTGCGGAACTGATTCCTCCAATGTTCAACATCGCGGAATAGGATGCATTCTCCAGTTAATACGAACATAAGTAAAGTAATATTAAAATTACTGCTCTACTAATGAGTACAAAATCAAGAAGTTTTACCACAAATAACGTTGTTCAATGAAAAGATAAAAAATATTTCATAACGCATTCTTTATTGATGAGAAATCACACACAGAGAGAAAAAGTTGGACAGAAGAAAAACAATCGTTATATAGATACACATCATATAAGATTATGTCAAAGGGAAGATTAAAAATAGTTTCGAATGTTCCAATGATAAATATTACTGTATCACATAACCACTACACCACCAAGAGCTTTTCGAAATTTACTTTTGCCATGAACTTTTGATGATTCTAGGTGATATGTAATAACTTCCGTACGATTGAGTTGCACAAGTTGAGGAAGAGCTTTGAAAGAATCAGAACCATGTTCTTTCATACTATCTAAAAATACAAATCAATTACTTTGACTTCTATTTGATAAATAGAATGTATTATTTAAGAAAAATGCTCAAAAATCACTAGTTTTTGAATCGGTTGATGGGAAAACTCATCAATCTTTTGTGTATCAATATATAGATCTCAAAGAATTTAGCTGACTGTTATCAGAAATAAAACTAAAAAACACCATTCGTTTTGTTTGATTATTTTTACTTACTAGTAGCATTGAGTGCTCCAACAGCAACTAATGGATGATAGGGTATCGATTGTGAAAGTACCGGGACGTCGTTCGTCTTTGTCATTTGCGTAGTAGTAAAATTTGATAATGTAAATTGACAAATAACTACACCTGCGTCAAATGTTGCTTTTTCTACTGTGAATACACCACCTTGTGCTATTCCAGCTGGAACAGGATGTTGATGCTTGCCAGGATTCATATATCTGTTGACATCAACAGTATCATTAACGAGTCGTCGACAAACAAACACATGAGCTGGGCCCTGACAAGAAAAAAAAACAAAATCATATTTAGTTAAAAAAATGTAACCATGACAACGAACCATCGATCGATTAAGATTAAGACCAATAGCAGCCCATTGAGCTGGCTGCATTTTATAGATAGCCATATGAATTCTTGTGATATTTCCAACTTCAAATGTCCATCTTACATTGACACCAACATTACCAGTAGGTGAAACAAGTTCAGTTCCGGTGTTTTGATGTCCAGTAGAAGATCCTTTATGACTGTGACTGATCCCTGTTTGGGCCATTACAAGAAGACACAATATTGTTATAATATATTTCATCTAAAATAAATGCGTAAACATTCTTCAATTACACTGCATTTAAATAATGATGAATGTACTTTTGTAAAGTCATATATATATATATAAAGATTGTATATTTATCAACAAATGGAATTTGGTCTCTGTTTTATCTATGTTAAATAGTATGATGAAGACACAAAAAACGATATGACTCAGTTCGAATGTTGTGCCTTTTTCTTCTTTTTAATTTCTTGCTTGTTTATCATATGAAAATATTTAAATTTGATGGGTTACTATTAAAGAGAAAAGAATTTCAAAAGCGTTGAGTCACTCAAAGAGATAGGGAGGTGAGCAACATTTTCGAAGTATTCGTATTCGAGTACGAGTTTACTGATAGTGATACTCGTACTCGAGTATGAAGTTACTGAAAGTCGTTCTTGTACTCGAGTATGACTTGACTGATAGTCGTACTCAAGAATGAAATACAGAAGGTGATGAAAAAGTTCTCGGAATTCTTGAGGGTGTGGGTTTGATACCTACTTCAAAATATTCACCCACTCACATCGTTTTCTATTACACAAACATCGAATTATTTCATTATATTTATCTCATCTATCAAAAATTCAATTGTTTTTTTACAATGTGTACCATCGAATCACTTGTTCTCGATGGTATTCGTTTGTACAAACTTGTTTTACTTCTCTTCCTCGTGCCTTCTCAATGACCATTTATCTTAACAATGATTTAATAAGTTGTCTTAATTTTATAAGAATATTTACGCGAATATATAGTTCGAAAAAAAATATTATAGTATTTCATCAAACGGTGTCATTATTAATCTAAAAACATGTTGTTGTTGTCCAGCATTTCGATTTTCATTTGAATGAGCTAATGTGTAACGTTGTTCACATTTTTCACAAAAGATCAATGAAGGACAATGTACACAATCGAATCGAATACCACGTACAATTTCATGACAACCATCGCAACTAGAAATGAATAATAAATCCATACATGATAACTATTATTATTTAAACTTACGTAATATTTTCATGAGTAATAAGTGGACTTTCCGGACGTGGTAAATCATTAATGGTTTCTGTTGATTTTCTCACAGTTGATGCTTGATATTGTTCAGCTTCATCCCAAGTAAATTCTTCTCCACAACCCGATTGAATATTTCCTCCATGATAATCTTGTCCACATATCATAGATTCACATCCTTCCATACGTTCAACAACTCGATTACAATTTGGACAATGACGACAATTTCTTGATTTATAGTTTTCATCTTCTACAGCTGTATCGTACCGATGGCGTAATTCTTCATTTCGTTGTCTATTTTTTGCTTGTTCTCTTTCATATTCATCAAGACGAGCTGCATAATCAGTATCTTGTCCTGCTCGTTCAGTTAAATATCGACCACGTTCTTTAAATAAAATTATTCAAAAACACAAATTCTAAAAGAAATATTTCACCTGAATTACACCAGAAGAACCATCGTTCGGTGATTAATATTAGTTGTTGACAATCTGTTCGATAATGATATTGTTGATTACATAATGAACAAAATTCCTTTTGACATAATTGACAAATAACATGAAATCGTTCATTTGGATCATTAGGTTCAAATGCCCATGAACATTGTTGATTTGGACATTTAATTAGAGCACGAGTTTCACTAGCATAACAACGATCAAAAGTTTTTTGAATTTGATATTGAATAAATTGATCAAGTTCTTCTGATGATATACGTAATTGTTTCAATTCACCATATTGAAGTTGATAGGAACAAAGTGCACATGTTAAAATCTTATTAGTGACCATTTGATTTCGACATGATTTTTCATAACATTGATAACATAATTTATGACTTTGATCACAACCAAATACAAATATATCATCAAAAAGACAAGATTCCATACAAATATCACAATCATGCGTTGGAAGTTCCATTGGAAAAATATCATCTATTATATAGAAAATGATTGAATGTAAAAAGAAAAGAAATCTTTACCAAATTCAGCAAGTTGTTCGACTATATTTAATGCATTTAGAATTTTTTTCGTTTTCTTTTGAGTTTCAATAAAAAATTCAATTTGTTGAACACTAAATGGATATTTTGTTCGAGATAAAATAAATTCAACTAATTTTTGTTGTCGTCCTGTTTGATCATGATGACATTGTTGAGAATGTTCTTCATACAAAGTAATCTTCTGTGGACAATGACAATATTCACATGGAAGAAAATCTTCTGGATGACAAAATTCAATATGTTCATCAAGATCATTGATATTTTTAAAATCAATATAGAAATGACAACGAGGGCATTGAGGACGTTGTTGATTTTGAATCAGAGAAAGTAATTTTTGATACATTCGTTGTGTTAATGGAATACATGCAAGATCATAACGTGATAATTGATAATTACAATGAATTCTATGACACGTAGGTGTTGTTTTAGAGATTAAATATTCATTCATTGATTTATATAAACATTGAAAACAATATAGATGATGAAATCGACATGGAATTAAAAATCCTGAACCATCATTCATATTTATTATAGATGAACTATTTAGACGAAGAAACTTTTTAGTCTTTAGATTTTTTTTATGATTAACTTACCAATTAAAACAAACATCATGTTTTAGTTGATTAGTTGTCTTAGGTTGATAACTATTAGGAGTTGCAGGTAAACATGATTGTACATGAGTCTCATAGTTCATTTTGGGAATTAATTTCAAACATAGAATACATTCTTTTTCATCGAAATCATTCATTGTTGAAGACAAAGACTAAAAATATTCATTGTCAAATTTAATGATAATAGTGAATTTCAAATAGTACAAATATTTCCTTTACCTGATCAGTAGTTATATTTTGCTCACCATCATCGCATTGATTGATTTCATTTGATATATTGTCTATCTGAGATTTAGGCGTTACTGAATCATCATTTAATTCTTCTAATAATTCAGAAGTTGAAGAAGATTCGTTTGTTTGTCTCATTTCTTTTTACAATATACTATATTATTGACATTTAATTTTATATATTTTGTTTTCGAAATCGCAATTTAGTCATACTTACATCATCATACAAATATACATTGAAACTTTGCATCAACGTGTGTAATGTATTGTGCAATAACATATGACTCATTCGTACCATCAGAGTAGCATATTATTATAGGGTAGTTTCTAGTATGACTCTACGTCAGATGGAATTATCCCACATGAAAAATAGAAGGCACAATTACTCAAAATTCAACTCTATGATCTATGGCTCTTGGGATGGGTGTGGGTAAGAGTGTGAGAGTTTGTCTTTTTTTTACCAATGCCCACTCCCTCACCCTCATCGTTACACCTAGATCCGGGGACAGAAAATACAGTTGAAGTTTGATTTATTCTAAAGAAATTTATTTAAAAAAAAGATGATGAACTACTTTTACAAATCAAAAAGAAAATTTCTACGCGCCGGCTTCAATCAAAGTCTTATGATGTATATTAATCCAATAGTGGTGTAAAATCTGGATCTCCCTTTTTCATAGCACGTTGATAACCAGAACGTGCACCAATTCGTTTTAAATAAGCACGTATATTAGGGTAGGAACCTAAATCGAGTTTTGAAAAGGCACGCATAGTTGTTAATGGAAAAACCATCATAATGTCTGCAGAAGTAAATTCACTTCCCGCAAAATATTCATTTGTGCTTAAATGCTTTTCTGCTAGATCCATTGATCGAATAGTACGTTGTCGCAATGTATTGACTACAGGATTTTCACTTTGCATATCTTTCGCTAGTAAGTTAGCAACTAAATCGACAAGCATAGCTGGCACCATTGAACCATTTGCAAAATGATACCAGAATAGATAGTCAGCAAAATTTGGATGATCAGCTTTTAATGTGAAACGATTATTACCATATTTGGCAATAATATAATCAACAATAGCACCGGATTCTGCTAATAAAACATCTCCATCGACAATAACAGGAGCTGTTCCAAATGGATGCAGTGCTTTGTATTCTGCTGGTGCAAGACGTGTTTCCGGATCACGATCATAACGAACAAGTTGATAGGGAATTTCAAGTTCTTCACATAACCAAACAATTCGTTCCGATTGTGAAATACCAAGATGATGAACGATTAACATTGTCTAAAGACTAGAATTTATCGAATGAAATAGTCAAAATTTAATCCCTATCTAGGCAGACAAGAAACGAAAAATGCGGCGTTTCTGTGCGTAAAAATGTGCACTTTTCACGCGACGAAAAAAAAACATTTTCTTCAAGCGTAAAAAGCGCACATTTTTACGTGTAGAAATGCCGTATTTTTCGTTCCTCGTCCGTCCGGTTGCCCGTGTGTACAAAATAAAATCGACTCTTACCATATATTAAAACATAAGCACATGTGATAAGAAGCATACACATACAAACGCGTTACATATAAAATTGAGAAGAAGAAAGTTAGATGGTAATTTTAATATCGAATGTAATTGCACAACCTTGAAAAAATTCAGTTTTTATAGTCACAATTGTGATGAATCATGTGGTTAAGTCAAAAATCTTAAGAACTTTATTCTAACGGTTACGTGGGTTCAATTATTTAGCGCATGAGCACAATAAGAAAAATTAAATATGACTTTGATACTCGTTTATTTTTTGTAATAAATAACAATTCTATACAATATTTTGATAAAAAGTAAAAAAAACATAACTATGAAATTCTCGCAACCATTGCTCGACTAAGTAAATCAGCTTGTCGTATTGGTTCACAAATACGATATTCAGTTACTGACTGAAATATATTTAATGCTGTTTGTAATGTTATTTTATGTCCAACACTAATGTAAACAGCATTTTTCACATTACCAGTAACATTATAAGCTATACCAAGAATATTACCACTATCATCTGTAACTTCAACATATTGATCTTTTTCTGGTGCTTTTTCAATTAATAATTCTTGAATTGTAGATCTTGTAATACTATCAACATAGAGAACATTTTTTGATACACCAAAGCATGGAATATCACTTAAAACTCCAAAATGACAAGCACTACCAGCACGACGTGGATGCCAAACACCATTTCCATCTATTAAAATAACTTGTGGTGTTAAATGAGGACAACGTTGTTTTTGAATATCAAGCAATCTCATATAAATTGGAGTTTCACGAAATGCTAAGTACCCAGGTATGTATGGAATTTTAATCACGCAATAAATACTGATTTTAGCTACAATATTTAATGTTCGATAATCAAAAATAACCATAGATGCCACAGCTTTATCATTCCCTTTCACAAAACTAATATCCAAACCAGCAATGAATCTAATTGGTTCATTAATTTGATCAATATCGGTAATAATTGATGGAACCATGTCTTCTTGTTCTCTAAAAAGGAATTGAATTCATGATAAATTACAAAATAAAAATCATTATTAATTTTATATACTTTGTCCATATTGGTAATATTTCATCAACATTTATATCATTTCCGATTTCAATACAATCTCTTATTACAATATTTAACCATGTTGTATTTTTCTTCATATACAAATCTCTATTTGATGCCATGTTGAATATGAAGTAAAGACTAGGATATTTCGTTTTTTTTAATTCATATTTTCGACATGTTAACAATTTATAGTCATATGACATAGGAAGTGATGTTACACTTCGTCAGAATCATTACTACTTGATAATAACCTATTTTCATTACAATTTCTTGCGTCAGATTCATTTTTATAAATAATATCACTGTATAGAAGAGTAAATATGAGTCGTTATCGTGCAACAATACAGGAATGGATTGAAAGAGAGTCGAATGAAAACATCACAATTAAGACAGATGTCGTGCGAAATTGGAAATCATATATTTATTCCTACAGAATGTGGGTGTGGGCCAAAAAAGCACACAATAGTCATACCCACACCCTCAGTTTTGTTAACTGTGAAAATTCCATAAAACACAATTGTCGGTACTGCGCATTTTGTGTTTTTCTTTCTCACATGGTTAACAATATTCTGCTTTAAATAAGATAAGAAGCGAGATATTCGCTTTTCTTTCATTATCTTTTTCGTTACACATACTTAATCTGCCTGTGTGAATTGTGTCGAGTTACTGATGGCCGTCGATATCATCCAAGAGATCAGTTTTTTTACTCCTCCTCAAGACGGTTCCGCTGCATGGATGGATTTTACTCCTACGCTGGTCACAGGCAAGAAGAATTTCGTACCGATATCTGGTCAAGTGACCATTCATGATTTGCGAAACAAGGAAAGTAGCATCGATCTCGATACACATGGCTTTGAAGTGCTGAAATATGACGGTGACATACATAATGAATTCGACAATGACAGCGAGATGCAGCGATCCTACTATGAAGACATTGTTGCTCTGCTTAAAAAGCGTCTAGGTGCTTCTAGTGTAGTCATCTTCAATCATATATTCCGTTTCCGTGGATCCCCGCTTACTCCATATCAGTGTGATTCGACTCACAAAAATCCTGGTCTCGACGCACACGTGGATATTGATCCATCTGGAGTTCCTTGGAAAGTAGAACAACTACTCGGTGAAGAAGAGGCTAAAAAAGCTATGCATCGTCGTTTTCAGATGATCAATATCTGGCGACCAATAGGACCCAATCCTGTAATGAACATACCGTTGGCGCTCTGCGACTATCGTTCAGTTGACGTCGACAAGGATATGCATGTAGTACAGCATCGAGGAACTCCAAATAGTCTCTCGGGCTATGCGGTGTCGCACAATGCTCAAGGTGCTCAAAAGTGGTACTATCTGAGTCAAATGCGATCAGATGAAATGTTTGTTTTCAAAATATTTGATAGCAAACCCGATGTTGCTCAATTTGGTGCTCATGCGGCCTTTATTAACAAGCATGTGCCTCCAACGAATGTCGAACAGAAAAGCATTGAAGTGCGCTGTTTAGTTTTTTATGACCAATAAAAAATTAATTCTTAATCAATAGAAGCTGCTCAAAATCCACTCACTCGTGGGTGTGTGTCGGTATTTGAGAAAGATCTTATGCACACCCACCCTTATGATGGTTTTATGAACATTTTTAAAAAGAAAATAAACATCATCAAACTAAAAAGAATATGAATGCTCATTAAAGGAAAAAAACCAAAATCAAGATAAAATTTGAGTGTCAGTGTCTATCAAGGAGAGAGAGACATATCTACACCGTTATACGAGACTGTGCAGAGTTCTTTTGTTTTAATTTGCTTTATAATATGCGTTGAATTGAACTTGTGTTTTATTGCCCCGTCGATAAAACTCAGGACATACGTGACGTTCGACTAAAAATGGAATTGATTTAAATGTTTGCTGAATACCATGACCTTGAAAAGTATCAATATTTCCATGATGATAGAAATTGTATCCAATTTCGACTATCGAGAAATGATCGATCAGATGGAGATCCCGAACAATCTAATCTTAAATATTGTAAATTTTGGGTTGCTTGGGAAAGTAAATATAAAAATTCAAATTTCGTTGAATGAATATTTAAGATTATTCTTGATAAATAGATTAAATTATCAATAGGTTCGTACATAATATTAGGATTAATATTCTGACAGGTTAAAGAACTATTAAAATATCGAAGATAAGGTGTATGTCGAAGAATATATGAATAGAAATAAGAAAATGACAAATTAGATTTTGATTCAATATCTAAATATTCTAAATTAGATACGATATCTTCATCATCTTTTTCATAATTTGAAGGAATAATTTCAACTCGCCGATGAGATTGCGACATTTTAATTTGACAATATTTTAATTGTGGAATTCTTAGAAGAAAATCAATGATTAATTCTTCACGTATATTTGTAGCATATTTAAATACAGTCAAAGAATGAAGACATACAAATTGATTTGGATGTAACATTTGTAATAGATCATAATCGTAACATTTCAAAGATTTTAATTGTTGTAAACAAATAACTGATAAAAGAATGTCAAGATCATTGTGTTCATTGAGCAATGTACAATGTAATAATAAATGATAATCAGTTAATAGTCGATTCAAATAGTCATTTAAATTATAAAATGATTCAATTATTTCATAAGCATTCAAATATTCAAGTATTGAAATATGTAAATCACTACTTAAATCTTCGAATACAGTTGGTTTTGTAAGCGACATATTATGAAAATTATTGGTAGTTTAAAATGGATAAAAACAAAAACACATGCTATTTGGTAGAGGGTTTTTTCCAAGTAAATTGCATGAGTCATACTCTTTTTTCTTTCGTTTGAGATAAAAAAAAATACTACACGCATACCTTTTTTTCGAAAAAGGAATAGATTTGAGTCAGAGTCAGAATCTTGAGGGTGGGTATGGATGGAATATCTCTGCTCTCAGTAGACACCCACACCTTTCAGGCGTCTAATAGTCGTAGTGAGGTCTACTTGAGGGTGGGTGAGGGCGGGTGTGAATGTGGGTGAGAGATAGTTATGCTACTGACACTCAACCTTACACCCACACCCACACGATAATGCAATTTTATTATTCTTACCGTTCTATTGTTGCTCTTTATGTATAGTCATTTGTTAGAAAAAAAAGCGAAAGTGTGTGTAAATAAATCAAATTGAAAAGAAAAGCGAAGCTGCATCTTATTCATTTGTTTCTACTAATCGTCACAATAGTTTCATCGAATAGATGAGTTTATGTATGAAAAGCATGGTAGAGAATAATTGAATAGCTTGAAAAGGTTATATTACAAAAGATTTCCAATTATCTAAAAGAGGGTGGGTGTGAGTACGAATGGGATATAAATATAATATCTATACCCACGCCGAAATGAAAGAAATGTCTAGAAAAATCGGAGGAAAGGTAGCTCTTTGGGGATGCATATACTACAAGAATGATAGAAGAAAATATAAAACGTTATTTCTTTCTATGTATTTTTAAAGATATTTGTTTATTTATCAGATTGCTTATGCTGTTCTAGTTGTTGTTTGTATACTTCAAGATTTTTCTTGTGAAGCAATGTCTGAGGGTGGTCTGGTGGTAAAGATTGTCGATCAATATGGAGAGCTTTTTCAGCATATTCAATAGCTTTTGTATATAATTTCATGTAAGACACTGTATTAGCAAGGCTACTGTATGTACTTGCTATGGATGGATGAATCTCTGGAAAAATTCTTGTTTGAATTGCGAGGGCTTCTTGACATTTTTGAAGAGCTTCCTCATGTTTGCCTTGATCATTGAGAATTCCAGATATATTAGTGTGCAATATGGCTACCAGTTCTTCATCCTTATTTTCTTCTGTGTTACAGATTTTAATTGCTTTTTGAAAAAATTCAATAGCTTTATCCATTTTCTTTTGTTTACGATAAAGAGTTGCAATATTGTTATATGTTGCTGCTTTGTTCGATACGTCGTTAGATGCTTCTGTTTCTTTTAATGCAAGCGACTTATTATAATAATCTAGCGCTACATCATACTGTTCCAGTTCATCTTTGACCATTGCAAGATTATTATATAATACTGAACGAAGTTGTGGTGAACTTTCCATCTGGAGCGTCATTAAATAGAAATATTCAGATTTTTTCCATGATGCTAATTGGTACATTAATTTAGCAAAATTCAAGCAATTATTACTGCTCGTCATAGACTTTTGAAAATGTTCTTTCAAAGCAGTAAGACGCTGGTCGTGCTCGTCTGTTAATGTCAAAGAGACGACCCATATCCCTTCGTTAGATAAGTGTTTTAGTGAATTGATGCGAAACACTGATCCCATGGAAAATAGCAACTCCTTTTCGTATTCAAATTTACTAATAGTACTTATGTTGGCTACAGGAACTCCCGTATCTTTCTCAACTGTGATTTCCATTAAAAGGCCTACTTTCTTATTATTTCCAACAGCTTGCTTAGCAAAATCAAGAGCAACTTTACGATCCAAACTGGTAGAAAGAAACGTTGAGATAGATAAAAGTGCATCTTTGTTTTTTTGAAGTCGCTCAAAATCTTCATTATCCATTGTTAGTCCACGAAACAGTGTCTTTCCAACAATACTCTCCGTTGCTTTTTGTCTTTCTGCGATTTGTTCATGAAGATGACGAATAAATACGCGCAAGACATAAAGCATATCGTACTGATGAGTGCGAAGAGCTTTATTTAGCATACCATAAAGAAATTCATCTCGTGTGTAACACTTGATGGAATCATTAGCAGTGTAGGTTGTTCTGAGTTCTTTGATAAATGCTTGTGCTTTATGATTTGCTCGATATTTTTCTTCACAAAATTCATACATATCTTCCATGTTCTCGTCCGGTGCTTTCAAGACAATGTTTCGGAACAACTGATCGTACATGAACATTACTTCTTGCTGACTCTCCTTAGATAAATTTTTTGATAATGCTTTTTCCATTATTTCAAAATTTAAAAGACTGCTATCGATGGTTTTTACATCTTTGCCTAATTGTTCGCTCAACGATCGTATAGTGTCGTAAATACCACGAATTTCTGGATATTCAGTAAACCAAGGTTCTTCTTTTACTTTATTTGGATTATAAATATAGATGAATTCGAGCTGCTTTTCATCGTGTATGTTTGAAACAAAGTTCTCTTCGACTTCGCCTGAGAGAATCACAAGAATCTTTTCATCTTTGACCTTAGACATGAATGCTTGACATTCTGTTGGATCCACAAATATTTTGACCGAATTCACCACTTGTTGCAATTGCGTTTTTGATTCTTGACTGATCTTAGCTTTTCCGTCCGTCGATTGATGCAACCATACCAGAACACAATTCTCGACATTATCTACTTGCGGTTGTGCCTTTTCAGATATGGCCGTTGCATGTTTCGATTTCACAGGTTTAGGCATGGGCAACACGAACACCTTATAACCCGCTAAAATAAAAATCAGATTAGAACTAAATCCAATGGGGAAAGAGCGGAATCTAGATTCCCGATGATTCTTGAAGATTTCATAAAACCGTTTTGAATGCTAAGATTCCGCTCTTTACTCCTTGAAAATTATTGTGAAACTTCATATTTCCTCTCGTTACTCTAAAGTAAATCTATTCAAACCTGATTTTGCGCGAATAAGTCGTTGAGATGGTGGTAATTTATTATCAAATCTTCCATTATTTGTAAATATTTGCCAATCACTTGTTGCTACCTGATATCCAGTCTTAGGTCTCTCTGTATCCATGAATATTTCGGAGAAATAAATTTACAGAATAATAGAATACTTGAATCGAATTTCTTTTTCTTCCAAATGACTGCAAAAATTCTTTTGCATTAAATTCAAACATTTTATTTTTAACCATAAAATGTTTACCTTCAGTTTCGACGAAGGCCAACTTTACACTATTGTGAATTTTGCAGTAACAAAACAGTTTGTTATGACTGCATAATTCTTCTCTTTCTTTCTTTCTTTCCAACTCTTTTTTCGTTTATTTTTACTTTATATACATATCGAAACATTATTGTTCTTTATTAAAAAAAAACAGACGATTGTATTATAGAAATTGTTGGTATTTTTTTGAAGTATATGCAACCATGAAAACTAAATCAAAAAGTATACGCAATTAGTTTATTTTCTATTTGACATGTCTTGAAGAATCGTATGATAAAAAAACGACTGGATTTTCTTGAGGATGTTGGTAACAGAATGAGCGGTACTCACATCATTGTTTTTTTCACTCATTTTCAATTAATTATTACTTCCTCAACTGACGATCTCTCGTAGCTCATGTAGCGGCGGCGCCAGGAATCTTGACTAGGGTGGGCTCAGGCCTAGTAAATTTCAAACAGGGTGGGCTCAGATAGGATATTATTGGTTTTTTTAAGGTATGAAAAAAATTTCAGGGTGGGCTGAGCTCACCTCAGCCCACCCTTGGAGCCGCCACTAAGCTCATGTCAAATTTAATTATGATTTGAAAAAAGGGAATGAAGCATAGAGCTGACAGAATTCTGCAAATAAATAAAAAATTCTCAAGTTCTTGAGTTATTTCTATGGGAGAAAAAAAACCTTGGATGTTTTTCTTCTCTTATGAAAAATTTGAACCATCAATGAATGTCTTTTTTTTTTGACTCGATAAAATCTATTGAATTAAGAAAAAATGCGAAGAGAAAAAGCTTACTCACTTTTTTTTCCTTAATCACACATGTTTAACATTGTCTAGTTACTTATATAGACAAGAACGAATGTGAAAATGTGGGCAAGGGTAAAGGAACTATATTGATATCATACTCACCATCAAATCATTCATTAGTTGTATGGCGGGTGTGGATGTGATGTTAATTTCTTACTCAAACTCACAGCCACACCCACACCAATGATGCTGCTCTCTCATAATACCTGTGATCAGTATTTCAATAGTTTTCAATTTTAATAATAATTTATTCATCTTTCACAAAATATGTAATAGTTTAACTTAAAATACAAATGAGCATATACACAAAAAAACAAAAATAATACTTTTACAATAACAACAAAAAAAGGTACATCAATATTGATAGTCAGGATGCTGATGAATAAAGAAGCATCAATATTAATTAATAAATTTGAAGGAAAAATATAAAACTTTTTAGCATAATTTATTACGATAAATTAAAACTTATTTTTGATATTTCTACTACATCACGAGTCATCTTGAGGGTGTGGGTGTGATATATTTATCTCACACTTACACACTCCTCACCCTCACCATCACACCCTCAAGATGGTTTGTGATTAGTTAATTATAAATGTTCGTAGCAGTTCTCTACTTCTTTTTTTCTTTACTTCGTATTACAACTGCTCTTCCTCCCAGTTTTCTAACCAAGGGAAATTTTCCGGTGAATTCCGGTCTGGAATACTGCGTCAGGAAGTTGTCGGAAGATGTGGGAACCGATCATTCTCGGGTCGGATTGTTTGACCTGGGTATTTACTACGTTTGATGAACATTTTACAATTATATCAACAAAAGAACAACTGGAACAATTGATAAATCAGTGCATAGTGGAAATATCACAATCGAATAAGGGTGGGTGTGGGTTGGTAAGACATAAAACATTCACCGATACACCGACACCCACACCCACCCACAACCCACACCCTCATAATTGCTGATATCGTATTATCTTTTTGTAAATTTAATTTCATTGAATGTAAATAAAATTCACAATTTGATTCCTGATGATGTGTTCAATTAGAACACGAAAGCTCGAATCCCCCTCTTTTATTTCTGACTGAAATACCAATATTCGTAAAATGATCTTTGCAGCAGTTCTCTCTTTATTTTCCTATTGATCTGCTCTTCGCCAATTTAGCCACAAAAGATCAAATGATGCGACTAAAACTTGAATGGAAATTTAAATTGTCGAAATCAAATGATAAAAAAGAGATTAAAAAAAATAAACAAAAGTTTAACAGCAACAGATAAAGAGATTTGCAGTATCAATAAAATAATACAAACTGCATATGAATTGTACATGGCAATTAAAACAGAAAATGGTAAGAAAAACGGTTACCAATTTTATAAAAAAAGTTTTTCTTTATTTAGCGAACAAACACCCAGAACAAGGTCATTAAATTATGTCGTCGCATGAAAACAAAAAACATTTTTAAATGTGTTAGCGTCAACTGGTGACACTATGTTGTCACTAACTTTTTTATTATTATTTCTTGCTCAGAGTAGAGGTTTTCTCTTTTTCGTTCTTCTTCTTATCTACATATATAGATAGGAGAATTTTCCTATATCTTTAGTTTAGCTTTATTTCTTTTCTAACCTCGTATTTGTTCTTTCTTTTTCCTTTTTTTAATACATATACATTATTATATATACATACATACATTTTTGAACTCAATCTTTTTACGGTTGAAAATAAAATAAATAGATAAATAAATTAAAAACCTTTTTCATTATAAAACTTATCAAGTGATTATCGTCATTATAAGACTCCCCTACACAAACTTAGGAGCACAAAGAATTAGTTTATTCCGCTATCGAGAATAATACAGGTACAGGTAGGATTTTAGCTAGGGAGAGAGGAGTTCTTATACAGACTAAGATTACCGATAGTCAATCTTCCCGCTTACGTATCGAACGTGGGGCAGGAGTCATAGATACTAATCGAAAAACCTAACAAAATGAACAAAACCATCAAATTTTATTTAATTATATGCTTCTATACAAATCATTTTATTATATTGATTCTGATCAATTTTAAAGAAAATAAAATCAGAATAGAGAATGGAGAAGAAATTGAAAATCAATTTATAAGATTGAAAGTGGATATTAGTCAGAACGTAGAAAGAATATTCATACATCACATCTACACTTTTAATAAAAAACTTTTATTCACCGAAAATTTCGCCTGAGAATTTCATGAACTATACTGAAGATAAAAAAATTATTTTAGAATTTTTAACGGATTTATCAAGAAAATTGTTTTCCTTAAAGATAATTAATGCAATGCTTACCTAAGTATATAATTTTATTTTCTTAGAATTTTATATTGATTTTATTAAATAAAAGCTATATTTTTATTTATTCTATCAAAATAATTCAAATACAAATAAAATACAACATGTGAAAGAATATTTGAAATATTTCTACAAGAGAAAGATTATAATACAAGTTTCAGATTATCTTTAATGAATAATTTAAAAACTTGAGGCTGGGTGTGGGTGGGTAAGACATACAACACTCACCGATACACTGACACCCACACTCACCCTCAAGATTGTTTTTTCTGTTTATCCACACCACATTCGCTCAGCTCTTTGGCTACAAAATGATTCTAAAAAAACTTTTAAAAATCAAACAGAAAGTGTCCGATACTTTTTATTTTCTATTAAAAAATAAAATAAAAATATTTAAACCAATTTTTTTTTATTAAAGATTAATATTTTAACAATTGAATAAATTAATAATGATCTATGTAAGTTCTTTTGAATAATAATTCTAAATAAATTCAACCATATTTTATTCAATGTTTTGTTTTTTAAATTTATTGATTAAATAAAATATCCAATATAAATAAAAGAATTTTTTGATTTTTTTTTAAAAAATGTTAAATGTAGAAAAAATGTTCAATTATTTTGTCCAACGACTCATCCAATCAAGTACTTCACGATACCAAACTAATGAATTGATAGAATTCATAGTCCAATGATTTTCTTTAGGAAAATAAAGTAATCGACTTGGAATACCACGACGTTGTAACGCTGTAAATGTACTTATACCTTGTGAATCTGGTACACGATAATCATAACCACCATGTATAACTAACATTGGTTGTGTCCAAGTAGCAACATAATTTACAGGATTATATTTTTCATATGCTTCTGGATTATCATATTGTGTTACATTTCCTAAACAATGTTCGATAAATGCTAAGTCGTCTGTTGAATAAGCCATTGCTTTCATATCAAATACTCCATCATGATTAACAAGTGCTTTAAAACGTTGACTCATTTGTGGATGTCCAGCAATCCAATTAACCATATAACCACCATAACTAGCACCTAATGCAATAGCTCGATGTTCATCAATATAATTAAATTGTTTTAAAGCAGCAGTTAAACCTAATTGTAAATCTTCAAAGGATAATGATCCAAATTCACCTGTAATACTATCAGTAAAATTTTGTCCATATGAATCTGAACCATGAAAATTAATTGCAATGATAGCATAACCTTGTGATGCAAATGCTTGATAATTCCATCGGTAACTCCATGCATCATACCAACTACTTTGTGGACCACCATGAATAAGAAATGCAAGTGGAGCTTTTTCATGTGTACCATTTGCTGGTGGAATATGCCATCCCCATACTGTTTCATTTTTTACACCCATAAATGAAAACTTTTCAGGTAAATAACTCATACGAACTTTTGATAATAAATTTTTATTATGATCAGTTATTGATCGAATTGATATTGGTGATGAATAGAAATAAATATTTGATGGTTCAACAATACTTTCATGAACATAAACAAACATATTATTATTAACTGGATGAATATTAATACTATTTGATGTACCATTCATAGAAAGACGAATAGGTAATGAACTATTAGATGTTATACCGGTAAATGTATAAATAACATTTCTTGCTTCTTCACCTAATTCAAGAAAAAGTGATTGACCATTATTTGTCCATGTTATATGTTGAATACTTCGATCCCAATCTTTTAAAAGTGTTATTGTGGAATTTGAAGAATAATTAAAGAATTTAATTTTATATTGATCAAATTCATAGGCAGGTACAGATTGTGATCGATAAATTAAAATATTTTCATCAATTGGTGAATAACTTGGATCTGTATCTGTAGCTAAATTATCACATGTAATACATTTACTAATATAATTTGATAAAGTTAAATCAATAGTATAAATATCTAAATTCGTTGACCATGCAACTTCACTCATTTCATCATGTTGTCTTGTATAAGCAAATAAATTTCCTGTTGAACTAAATGACCATTGAGTTTTTCCTTCACCGAATGGTCTTGTTGGTGAATCACTATCAATACCGAATAAAATATCTTTTGGGGTTGACATAAATTCAAATATTCCTTTTGGATTTCGTTTAATTGAAACAAGAAATGGATGATGACGACGACCAGTCATAAATTTATCCCATTGACGAATAAATAATTTATCAAATTTATAAACTAATTCACCACTTAATTCTTCAATTTTCGTTCGATTGTATGTTTCTTCAATTGATAAATTTGCATAAACTTGGCAACTAAATGCAAGACGTGTTGCTTGTCGATTAACTAATAAATTGTCAATAGTTAATGGATAATCAGTTATTTGAATTGGTTCAATAAATTTTGTTAAACTTATTATATCATCTGGTAAATTAATTTGAAATAATTGGATAAGATCTGATTTTCGATTAGAAAGAAAAAGAATTGTTTTATCATCAACCCAATAGAACTAGAAAAAACAAAAAAAAATATTAAAAATTAAAATAAATAAATAGAAAATATACTTGTTGATCATTTACTCCCCAAATAGGTTGAGTTAATTGTTTAGTTTGATTTGTTTGTAAACATGTCCAATGTAATGTTGTTGTTGATCCATTTAAATCAGGCATATGATATTGTTTTCGTAAATAGATAACACTTCTTCCATGTTGAGGATGAAATTGTGGTGAAGAAAGACGATCCAAACGAAGATTATGTGTTTGATTAAAATCATATATTTCTGTTAATTCATTATAATAATCACTATTTGATTGATAATCATCAATATTCCATCCTGAAGGTATCGATGGATTAAATCCCGTATGTGACGAATGAATATAAACAACGATAGATGGTATACTACCAATGACAATACCCAATAAAAAAACGATAGTTAACCAGATGAACTGAATAAAGAAATTAACAAATATTATTTTAAAAGAACTTAAAATAGTATTAAAAAGTAAAAACCTTTCTGAATTTTGATTTTGATGTAACTCCCGTAGCATTATCTCGAGTAAGATAATTAGTATTTGAATCTGGCATGGTAAAGACACGTTCAAATTCGAAGAATAAAAGATTAAATATATATATACTTATAAGATCTACAAATATAAATAAACAAAAGATAGTTCATTGTATAAATAAAGTATAGTTTCATTTATATATATGACTAGAAATGATCGTCAGTCACTGACATCAAATAACGATATACTTTACTAGTGTAATCATAGCATTTCAAATAGAAAATGAAACAAAAATACACCACGACATGAAAGGAAGAAAAAAAGAAAATACCTGGAACGATCTATCTATAGTCACACATGGAAAATTTTTCTCTCTTCTTCTTCGATAATATTAGAAAATAAGACGTCAAAATCATTCTCATCGTCTTTTAAGTATTAAAATATTCTTTTCAAATATAAAAATTAACAATAAATGAGAGATAACTGATTCTCTGAATTTAAAATCAAATAGAATTCTGTATTCATATTTTTATGGTAAACATCTAAATAAATTATATTTGATTTGAATTCATTAAGTTAAGACTTATGTGATTATTTTAGAAAGTCTTTAAAGAAGTAACGAATGTGAAGAATGAAAATCAGATATGATGTGAAAGAATATGTTTATTACTTCTCTTTCATCTTGTTTTTATTTTGATTAGTTTATTCGATCTCAGTTTGTCGAAATGATCGAATTGAAAAATTTGAAATAATTTTATGAATGAAATCTTGATTTTGAACAGTTGTAAAAGATTTTATTTTTGACCGAGAAAAAGAAAAAGTAAAGTTTTAGATCATTTTCACGCTGAACCAGTTAAAACTGGAGTAGCCAATCAATCTGTTAGAAACATAATAGCAATGCTTTTGCTTCATCAATATTAAGTCCTTGATTCGTTCGTTATATCATTTGTTATTTTGTTTTTCTTTCTTTCGTTCTGATTTTTGCTAGGACGTTTTCTTTCACGTGTTTATTTTTTATCTCCTTCTCTGCCGCATAAAGTATTCATAATCAAACCGTATTTTTCTCTTTCTGTGTAAGACTTACGTTATTATTGTACATCCATAAAACATAATATGTATAGCTTTTTGTTTTTGTGTGTAAATATTATGCGATGTCGCATATCATACTTTTAAAAAATTTAAAGAACGAATCTGTTCATTTATACACTCATTACATGATTTTCTAGATGGATGAAGAAACATTAGCAAGTTCACGTTTTTCCAAAGGTAAAATCTATGGTGTACTACGTGCACAAGTAACTTCTGACAATGGTGAATATCATTCGGACAAATCAAAAATGACTCATTATAATTTAATTACGACTGATGATGGACCAAATCAAATGCCAGAACAATATCAAATCAATATCGATATTCAATCACGTGATGCTCCTAATGTTAAATGTGTTTCATTCGATTCATTTTCAATTGACAATTTTCAAGTTTCTGATTTACCATATGGATTCACTCCATTGAGATCGGACAGCGATGAGCCAATGGCAATAGATCTCGTTCGAAAACCTTTGTTTGATGTTAATCTTCTTACCCAATCTACTGCATTATCTGCCGATGAGATTGCCACGAAGCTCGATAATTATTTAAAAGAAGGAAATCCGAATGTAATTGTCTTCGGAACAAAGTATGATGATGGATATCATCAGCCCGAGAAACATTATGGATTACAACGAGCAGCTAAACAACAAAAACCATCTCGTGGTATTGATGATGTGCATTTAAATCAGAATATAGGTAATGATGGTAGTGCCTATCAAGATGGAGCATTATTTATTGAAACAGGCGACAGTGATCAGAAAAATTATGTGGTTTTTTTCTTCTGCTTCGCAAATCAATGTGGATCTGAGTCAAATTATGATTGATGTAGTTAACCTAGACAAAAGCAATTTTGTTTTAATTAACTAAAATACACATAATTATTGCTTATTATTATATTCTATTCAATTAATTTTTAATGCTTTTTCATTTTTATATTTCCTAAAAATAACATTGTTCTGTCACAGCTCACGGAAAAACCATCTCGAGGGTGTTGATATAGACTTGTCTCTTCTTCATTCAGACACGCACTCACAAGCATTCGTCACTCTAAGCTCTATATCTAAAAGATTATAGCGTTATGTCTCTAGAAAACTATTTTTGTTTCGTTTTATTGAAATTCTTCAAAAGTAAGGTATTCCAAAAGAAAAGTTATGTCTTTCAATTTCTTGTGCTTAATACACGAATTGGAAAAAACCAACGTCGAAATATTTCCCATTTTTGTTTAAACATTGTGGTAAATTCTTTTTTGTATATTTCCGATGTTAATACGAAAACGAAAAAATGAAGTATAGGTGGAATAAACGAAATAAAATAACTAGCCAAGAATAATTTATATTCTTTTGGTGATTTCATACAATTAGGTAGAAAAGAAATGATGAGACGAGGTAATGCCAAAATAATCAATAAAAATGAACTAAATATAAGATGTTTATGCTGATCAAATTGACGTTTGAGTTGTTGTTGAAAGGTAAATATTCTTTGTGCAGATGAACGTTGTCTTGCAGTAATAATCATAATACCAATGACTAAGATAACATTTAGTGAAAAAGGAATAATAAAATGAAATATATTAATAAATCTGTTATAGCTTTCCACTTCAGATGTAAATTTAACCCAACACCATGTTCTTTGATCTTCAGTATCATCAATTAGATGACGATGAAATGGATCATGAACAATAGATGCAGCAGTTAATATAAAAATGATAAATATAATTAGTTTAGCTAATTTTCGACTCTTTGCCTTATCAAACTGAACACCACGAAACACAACAAAAAATCTTTCAATTGTCACAGACGCATGTAACCAATCAGTTGTTGCTAATAGAAATCGAAGAATAAATTCACTTGAAATACAATTAAATAAAAGAAAAGATCGAGAAGTTATAGTATTCATTTGAGAAAAAATAAGAATCCATAATTTCATATAGAAACAAATGATTACTAAAATTGATGTAATTGATGAAGTAAAAAGATAAAGACCACAACCTGTTTTTTGAGTTGACTTTATTTGAAATGTCTGATTGGATAGAATTCCACTAATAATGCCAATAACGAGGATTAATGTACTTAAAGCGATACTAATTTGAACAGGTAATGGTTGTTGAATTAATGTTAGATGTGGATGAATATGATAACCCAAAATAGAATCAAGTGAAAGACCAGAATGTTTTGTACTAAGTTGACATTTATCACCAAAAAAACATTCTTGACAAACACACATTATTTTTGTTGGACAATGTGGATGATCTTGAAAACATCGTCCATCATTTTGACAATCATTTTGTCCTAAACAATTGTAAGTCATATTAAAATCAAAATGAAAACAATTTGCATGTCTTTCTTCTGTACATAAACACATAAAGATATAATTATCATGGAAACAAGTGAGATCAGAACGATGTTGACATATAGTATGATAATATTTTACACGACGAAGATGTGGATATCCAACTATAACTTCCTCTAATACTTCTTGAATGTGTGGACAACGTTGTGATGGAGAGATTTGTGTAGAAAAAGTAACTGAAGATGTATAATTATGTTGAAGAATAACAAGATAATATATATTCTCAAATTCAACAAAAACAAGCTGAAAGGGTAATGACATATGTAAAGTTACTGTTTTTTCATTGAATAGAATTTTCTTGAACATAGTTACCCGAATCGGTTCTGTTTTCTCGCTCCAATGATCACGTGGTATAACATTAATGAAGTGAACAAGTAGAGATTCTGGAGTTTCTACATTAGAAAATGAAATATCTATTCTCACATCTGTCTTTTCACAATAGTCACCAGAGAATCCATCTGGACAAACACATGTGAAGTTAGTTAAAGATTGTTGATAATCATGTGGTATACAAATACCTTTATTCATACATTTGTTATTCATTTGACAGATTGAATTAAGATAACATCGGGGTCCTGTTTTATTTAAAGGACAAAGACAAATTGATCGGTTTTCTTTAAAACCAACACAGATCGAGTCTAACGAACAATTACATTTGTGTTGTAGCGTAGAAACTGAATTCATCCAATTTGAACATTGACAAGACTGAGCATTGTCATTTGTTAATGATATTAGATATTTATCACTACATAATAAATTACAATCTTGTTTTGCTGGAATTTTTAATTGAACACTCATACGATTAATAGGCATAAAAAGAAATTTGACTGGAGACATCCAACTTGTGAGATAAATAAGATTTACTTTATCATATGCATCAATATAGATTGTATAATTCTGCGTCATATCTTTCGGACGATTTTGATAAAGAAGATGCATATTATATTTAGTGTTACAATTAATTAAGGATTTGTACGTAATTTGTTCATAGGAATGAACAAAACCAGTATGATCAACAAGTCTAATAATAACACCAATCACATTTAATTTATTCAAATTTTCTTGACGTAATCGAATAGTAAGACTAACACGCTGATTTTGATATTGACAAAGATCACCATAGTAACTTTCTGGACAAAGACATTGTTCTTTTTCATTTTTACCAATCAAAATCACAAATCCTTTATTGCATAACCATAATCTTGGATCATTAATATGCTTAATAGTAGGCATTTTTTCAGTTTTTATCATATCATTTTGTATCTGCTTGTGAATTGATAATTGCAATTGGACTGGAGGAAAACTACGTGATGATTTATGAGAGAATGACTGTTTTCTAAAATAACCGGTGTCCTCTATGGAATTGAAATAGATAATAATACCACTAATTTTGTTATTGAACTCATTACATTGATGATGGATGTCGCTAAACTCACCGCATTGTTTGCAGGCAGTCGAAGCTAAAACACATTTTGTGTCATTCCAACAACGATAACGTGCCCAAATATTTTCTGGATATTGTAATCTACAATGAGATCGCTCATCAGTTGATCCAAGACAATCGATAATTTCATCTTCAATACGATTTATATGTAAGCAATCCATCTTGCGGCTCTTTGGAGACAAACAAGGATGATGATTTGCAGGACAATGAAAACTTGTTGAACAATTAATTTCATCAATTCCTTTTGGACACTGCCATGCTGCATTACAACGTGTATATTGATTTACACATGGCCATTGTTCACAATGCGTTTCATCAGTTTCATTTTTTATAGAAACTATATCAGTCCAGTTATTACAAAAAGAAGAAAAAGGAAGTTGATGAATCGTTGTTACGAAATCCTCAATCAAAGGCTCATCTTCCCGACCAGTACATTGCGTTTTTTTATCATTCACAAGCGTAGGTGAGAGACATTTCTGTTCAGATGTACATTGAAAGAGAATGCATCCTATTCCGCGATGTTGAACATTGGAGGAATCAATTCCGCACCGGAATCGATTCCGTCCAATTCCGGGAACTCGATCGACACACAACATAAGACACTCAGTCGAGATTGATCGAGTTCGACCGATTCCGGAATTGCACGGAATTCCTGGGAATTCCTACCCATTCCCACCGATTCCGGAATTCCGGGAATTGGTTCCGATTCCGGAAT